CGGATCAGCAGGTCCCGCAGGAGGGGGAACTCGCAGTGTGCCGGGTTCTCCACTGCAAAGCAAGGCAGAGCGGGCAGCGGGGCCGGCAGGATGCGGGCAGGAGGGCAGGGTGGCGGGGGGATGCCCAGGGAGCACATCCCAGTGGGCTCCGGGTACCACCGGAGCACTGGCATAGCTCCATGCCGCACCCCCCCCAGCTCAGCACCCCCCCAGGCAGGGATGCGCCCATGGGTGCTGCTCCCTGCACCCCTGGCGGACCCCACCCTGTACCTGGGGAGGGCTGGGGGTGCAAGGGGCTCCGCTCACCTTCAATGATGCCCCACTTGGTCTTGCGGCCCAGCACCCGCTTGCCGTTCACCTGGTGCTCCTGGTCGGCCCCCACCACGGCAAAGGGGATCTTCTCCTGCCAATGCAGAGGAGCGCGCTCACCCCAGGGTGCTGCCGGGCTCCCCCGGGGGCATCTCTCCCCCACCGTGATCCCCAGGGGACGGTATCCCCAATCCCAGCATCCCGGCACTCACCCGAATCCTGTCATTCAGTGCCCTGTCATCTGGGTCCTGGTCGAAGTCCTCTTGCGGGTACACGCTGATGGCGTGGGTCTTCAGGTCCTCCTGGATCTGCGGGATACGGGGCTTGAGCTGGGGTTGGGGGGGGACACGGGGCACCCCAGGAGCCCCTCAGGGACGTGCCCTCACCCGTTGCTTGAACTCTGCCCGTTCCTCCAGGGTGAGCGTGTCGGCTTTGGCGATCACCGGCACCACGTTCACGATCTTACTGAGCCGCCGCATGAACTCCAGGTCCAGTGGGCGCAGCCTGCCAGGGACCACCATCATCCCGGGGAGACCCCACCACCACCACCTCAGGGTGACCCGCACCGCCATCACCTCAGGGTGACCCCACCACCAAGCAGGGAGCACCCATGGGTGCTGTGAGTGGGGACTCACCAGTGACCCGTGGGGGGGACGAAGTAGACGCATCCATGGACCCGGGTGTCCGGGATCTTCCTCTTGCGGGTGATGAGGATCTCCTCACGTAGGTACCTCTCGTACTGCTCGTTGATGTATTTGATGATGGGGTCCCAGCTGGGGACGAGAAGTTGGGGGACGGCATCTGAGCTCAAACCCCCACCCCAAATTGCCACCCACCAAGCTGGGACGCCGCATCCGATTGCGTCCTACCAGTTCTCGTTGTTGATCTGGTCCCCAAACCCCGGCGTGTCCGTCACCGTCAGCTTCATCTTCACACCCTTCTCCTCGATGACTATGGGGCAGAGATGTGGGTCAGCGGGGACCAAGCATTGGGGAGAAGCAGGGGACC